TATTATAATAAACAAGAATAAAATAATAAGCATAAATCAATAATAATAAAGAATATATAAATATATATATATATATAAATACATACGTATCGCGTCTAGTAGAATTGGCAGTGCTTAAAACAGGAAGTTGGTAAGGCAAAACAGCCGGATAATCGTGACCAAACACAAACACACAACTCTGAGGACTACCCCCTAAGGAAAATGTTGAAGTATCGGCTGGTGGTATGAAAAAGTTAACCAATTTTACCAACTTTGTTTTGCCTGATGAATGTGGCACTTGCTCGGACGGGAGTGTTGGAATATCGGGCGAATTACTCTGTAATGGCATACCGATCATATCTCCAGCATTGGCATTAGAACAAAATAACAATTCTAATAAAGAACGTAAAAGAATAGGTTATATTATATTTTACCTATATTTCACTTATAAAAAGATTGACAACAAAACGCCAGAAAATATGATCAAAAATATACCATCAAAAGTATTTGTTTTACTGATCAAAGTTTGGACTACTATTCCCATTATACCAGCAATAGCAACCATCAAGAAAGGACATAAAGTAATACAACAGACATTGGTAAACATTTGTCGTTTTTGGTAAGAAAGTGTTTTTCGAGTCTAGTCAATAATTTTAATTATAGTTAATATTGATTGGAAAATCATGCCTGATACCAATACTACTGCAATACTACTGCAATACTACTGTCAGATTAACACTTCAAAGAAAATAGCAAAGAGAGAATAATATACCAAAGCACGAAGTTGAAAACTCTTCCTTTCTTGTTTGATAATCGGAACCTTTGCAAAATCCGAGATAACGGTACTACTACCTTGAATCATAAGTGGATTCGCCTTTATTAATTAGAAGAAAACAAAAGGCTAAAATAATTTTTAATAAAATATCATACCATTTTCAATTACGTTCATATTACTCTCATGCTTTGAAATTTCAGCATCGATAGTAGAATTTTCATCATTAATGCTTGATTTAACATCTTGATTATCAGATTGAATAATTGTATCTTGTATATAAGAATTAGAATTGTTGTCTGACATAGTTCGTTCTTCGAGTGATTACAGACAGGCTCATTCGTTTATTGTAATTTTTTAATATATATTTTGTTAATCCTTATTATATTTTATTATTATTATTGTTTGAATCCCAATAAAGGATTATAAAAACGTAACAAGATATTGAAGACAATAAATGTATGGTCTTATCTCCTTGCCGAACTCCCTAAGTAAATTAGAATACCAAATAATCCAATCCAAATATATATATATATATATTAATTTGGTATATACGTAACATATCGATATATCGATATCCTTTAATTTGCTAATTATGGAAGTCAAAATTTATTGCTCATATGATATCGATATTTGAATTCTGGACAACATATATATACATCGATATCTTGCAACTAATTATCCGAATTGAAAA